TTCTGATGCTAATATTTAGTTGTCCATCAACCTGGTTGTGTGTGAGAAGGCACGGCACATCCACCTATACCTCCATCTTGGCGGAAGTCCTTAAAGTCTTATTACAAATGTTTTTTTGTTTTTGTTTTTATTTGTCAATGTGTTTTGTTTTGGAACTTTGGAAGCTACCAAAGTGATGAAAAACTAACTGATCATTTTCTTTTTCTAGATTCACCATTTCTTATTATTCACTGCATTTTTATCTCCTCATCGTTTCATTTACCTGTATACATATTTTCTCTGAACCATTTGGAAATGATGGCTCACTTTTAAGAACCATCACATTTGGTGGGAGGCTCAAATGTTAGAAAAATTTTAGTTTCCAGCAATAGCTAATTGTGTGGAATGGTCCATTCCATGGAGCTCACCAGGCCTCCAAGTATGAGAATAAGTTGTCCAGGACACAGTTTGTCGTTCCAGTGGTAGATTCCTTTTGGTGGAGCCCTGGCTGGTGTATCTCAGTGGACTGAGCACAGGTCTGTGAAGCAAAGGGTCACTGGTTCAATTCTCAGTCAAGGCAAATGCTGGGATGCAGGTGGTCCGTCGTACGGGACAGCATTAGAGGCAATGACACACTGATGTTTCTCTCCCTCTCTCTCTCCCTTCCCCTCTCTCTAAAAATAAATAAAAAAATTCTTTAAAAAAAAAAAAAAAAAAAGATTCCCTCCAGTGGAGAATATGAAACCAACCCAAAACAGTTTTTATTTGGATCATACAGGGATAAGTGTTACAGAACAGGGCCCAAGGCGAAGGAATTAATATATTATTTCCAAAAGTAACCCCCAACTAGGTTCACATTGTTCACCAGCAGAGGAAGGACATCTCAATGTCAGAGATTTGTGAAAAGGAAAGGAAATGCTTATTTAAAAAGCTATACAGACTTAAAGTAGTGACCCAATGTCTTCATTAAAATCCCCAAAGTCCGTTAAAACACCCACAAAAACACACAGTCCTTCCCTCTCCCTCTGCCCTAATCTGCGGTGTACCATTCTCAGAAAAGAGAAATACAAAGCTTAGCTAGCTCCCTGGTGCTCTGAAGGCCCAGTCTCCCCGGCTGCAGGCCACATGGTTATGGAGAGAGAACATGTGAGCCCATGGGGTCTAGCGTGTAACTGGGGGGGGGGGGGGAAGAGAGAGAGAGAGAGAGAGAACGCTTCTTGTGTCCCTGGGATCATATTAGACTGAATTTGGGACGGACCAGGTGCCTTTTCAAAATGAGCGACCAATTTCCCAGGCTTTCCCAGGCTTGACGACTTCTCACCGTCTCCACTGCTACCAGCTCTCTCTCTCTCGAAATGCTGTTACTGTGGCCTCTTTGATACATTTTCTGCCTCTACTCTCGCTCTCCTAGTGTCCTTTTAACGCAGCATCTCGGTCGAGCTCTCGAAAATGTGAGTCAAATCATGTCATTACTCCAACCGGTTTGGAGTGTCTCCAGAAGGCACTCCAAGTTATCGAGAATAAAAGCTAAACTGTTTGCAGTGGCCTATGAGATCCTTCGATGGCCTGCGTGACCAACTACGGCTCTGATGTCATGTCTCTGTGAATCTTTCCTTTCCTCACTGTACTTTAGCCGCAGAAGCCTTGTATATTCCTTGAACTGCCCAACCTTTTGCCTGCCTCAGGGCCTTTGCAACTTGCTGGCTTTTTTTTTGGTGGTGGTGGTGGTGGCGGGGCGGGGTGGGAATACTCTTCTCCAGGCTATCCTATGGCTCGCTATGGTACTTTACTCGGGCCTCTGCTCAAATACTGATTGGACCTGTCATCCACGCTGCGCTCCACAGTCTGCTTTCCATCATAACACGCATCACCCCCCTTAATATCATTGTTATACATTTCTTTCATTTGCTTATTTCAGCGTCCATCTACCAGGATGTACGTGGCTTTATGTGGACAGGGACCTTGTCTATTCTGTTTACTGCTATATCCCCAGCGAGATTTTATTTATCTCAGGGTACAAAGGGTGGGGTTTTTTTGTTTGTTTGTTTGTTTTAAATCTCTCCCTTGTTGCGGGAAGCAATGTGCACAAATACTCATCACAGAGCCAGAACAGGGTGTCAGTTTTGCTTTGAAACGTGTAAGTGTAAAGGTCGGGTGCTGAATGGAACTATTGCTTGACGTAATTGATGTAATTTAGTTACATCCCCACTGTCAGTGCAAGATTCGCTGTTTTCTGCTTTGCTACTCATATATTTGAGAGTCCCTCAGAACCAGATATTGACTACTTCCTCCCCAGCACATTTGGTTGTTGACCACGGCCTCTTAAGCTCTGTGCGTGTGCGCGCGTGCGCGCACTGGAGTGTGAAGGCACATGCGGACGTGCGCGTTTGGTCGGTTTCTTTCCTTTATTTTTCATGTGTATTTTTTGTTATATTCCTACTCTGTAAACGCAATCTCTCCCCTATTTTTTTTTTTTTTTTTTGCCCCCCTCTTCCTCCTCTCCCATCTCCATGCTTTTCCTGAGGCCAGTTATCGGCCTCATTTCGAGATGTGCAAAAAAGCAGGGAGGCGTTTCCTGGGGCCCGGGACAAAGCACCGGGGAGAAGGGACAGGTTTAGCACAGTAACTAGGAAATACGTTATCTGTACTTGATTGGGTGGAGTAGACAGCAAGTACGGGAAATCATGCCGGGAGATAATATTTGGGGTTTTGCGTAGGTACGTAAGAAACACACAAACAAGAGCCAAAGCCAGGGGATGAGCTAGGACCTTGCTGCAGTGTGCTTACCGTCTTTCTTTCTTTTTCTTTTTCGGTAGGGAGTTTCAGTTTTATGTCTTTATTTTGTGCTTTACCTTCTGCTCTCATTTGACCTCTTGAAAATGTTCTTGAACTCTAATAAGGGTAGAAATGTAAAGTAGTATATTTGGTGCCCTGAATTAATGAAGGAATGAAGGGGAAGTGCAGCTAATTTTGTGTGTATGTAGCCTTCCAAACAATTCTGGGAAAGGACAGTTAGGAAAAAGGGCAAGAAAATGTCTGGGGTCGTGACTCAAAACCGTGAAGGGGATCCTCCCAAGGAATATGGCAACTGCCAAAGCAACGCGCCAGCGGTTGCGGACCCTGAGTCACCTGCTGTGTTCCATAGGTCCGTCATCCTTGCCTCTCACCACCGGTGCCCCAGTGATGTGGGATTCGGTGGCTGTCCTCGGGGTTTTCGTGGAAACGTTGTCTGGTTCAGGGTCTAATCGCCTTTGAACCGTTTTAGGAAACACTTCTTTGGAGCCGACTAGTCTCAAAAACGGAGAGGGCCTCGGTATTGCTCTCGTATGTCTGGTGCCTCTATTTTTGCAGAGAGGATGAACCGTTCCAGGCAAGGGACAAATGTTTTTCAGGCCGAGTAGTGTTAAGATTAAAAACTGCTGTTGGAAGTCTCTGGAGGACGTTTTAGGACAAGCCGACACAGGTCCATGAAGTCCCTGAACACCTAGGAATTCCCGTTCCCTCCTGACTTCCTAATCTAGATTGTTACAACAGAAAAAGAAAAAAACAAAACAGAAAGCAACAAACCCTACAAGTATGGGGGACTGTGTAGGTATCGAGGACCGAGTGTGTATGTGTGGTGGGGGGGGGGGGCGGCGGGGGCGGGGGGAAGGATTAGAAACAGTAGCCTTTCTATTACCTTAATGTGACAGCAGTTCACTTGTCGAAGCAGAGCAATCGCGTGTATTGAATTGTGTACCCGAAAGGGAATGCGAAACCGAGACAGACAGGAAGAGTAAGTAAAACTCACTTTGAGCATGGAATCAAGGTATCGGGGCACACCGGAAAAGTTTGCTGTGGGTGTTGAGGCACGGCCTCGAGTATTGCTTTGCAGTTTTCCAGTAGCATTTCGTAACAAAGCTTCCAGAGCCCAAGGAAAGAGTGGGTTCCAAAGCACTGACCTGACCTAAGTGGCACAGAGCCAACCCTGCCTCCCGGCCCACTACCCCTCCATTAGATGGCCTTCAATAGGTTGAGGACCAGGCACCGTTAGACGTTGGTACTGTGGAGGCAGTTCACTTGGCCGCGAATGGACACGCCCTTCTAGGTAGCTGTCCGGCAAGCTAAGTACAACTGGCCTTCTGCTTCCAGGGGCACCTACCTCACCCGTGCCCCTGAAGAGACCACATTTCCACCGGGAAACGAACGGGGGTAGGTGGCACGGGGAAGCAGGGTGGAGGCGTGGGAGTAAGACGAGTGGCACGAGCTCTTTGCTGAGAAGGTAGGTGGCTCTGAAAAGAGCCTTTGGGGGTCAAGCGGCCGGCGACTCGGGCGAGCGCCGCGTCCCGGGAGGGGCTCACTTGGAGCTGGTGTACTTGGTGACGGCCTTGGTGCCCTCGGACACGGCGTGCTTGGCCAGCTCGCCGGGCAGCAGGAGGCGCACGGCCGTCTGGATCTCCCGGGAGGTGATGGTGGAGCGCTTGTTGTAATGCGCCAGGCGGGACGCTGTCGCCGGCGATGCGCTCGAAGATGTCGTTGACGAAGGAGTTCATGATGCCCCATGGCCTTGGACGAGATGCCCGTGTCGGGGTGCACCTGCTTGAGCACCTTGTACACGTAGATGGAATACGCTCTCCTTCCGACTGCGCTTGCGCTTCTTGCCATCCTTCTTCTGGGCTTTGGTGACGGCCTTCTTCGACCCCTTCTTGGGCGCGGGAGCGGACTTGGCCGGCTCAGGCATAGCGGGCGGGACGCGCGAGCAGAGAAAAAGAGCAGGAACGCAAACACGACAACAGCAGGAGCGAGGCTACCGGAAGCGACTCGGGACTTATAGAGGATGTATGCAAATTAAGGCTCCGAGTACGCTGCATTGTGATTGGTGAGTTTCCAGCGGCGCTCCTGCGAGGGGGTGGGGGAGGCTTCATGCAAATGAGCGGATTCTCCCTGCGCTCTCTTATTGGCCGTCGGCACAAAGCTGCGCTGGGGCCAATCAAAGCGCTCGATGGACAATCGGCGTTCTGCCTATAAAAAGCTGAAGCGGGGCGGTTTAGGGCGACTTTCTCGGTCGTCGGTCGGGAGCTACTCGCAGTGCCCAGCGCCGTCATGTCTGGTCGTGGCAAACAGGGAGGCAAGGCCCGCGCTAAGGCCAAGTCCCGCTCTTCCCGCGCTGGTCTGCAGTTCCCCGTGGGGCGTGTGCACCGGCTGCTGCGCAAAGGCAACTACGCCGAGCGGGTGGGGGCCGGCGCGCCCGTGTACATGGCGGCCGTGCTGGAGTACCTGACCGCCGAGATCCTGGAGCTGGCGGGTAACGCCGCCCGAGACAACAAGAAGACGCGCATCATCCCTCGTCATCTTCAGCTGGCCATCCGCAACGACGAGGAGTTGAATAAGCTGCTGGGCAAAGTGACCATCGCCCAGGGCGGCGTTTTGCCTAACATCCAGGCCGTGCTGCTGCCTAAGAAGACGGAGAGTCACCACAAGGCAAAGGGCAAGTGAGGCCGGCGCTTGGCGCCCACCCAGCCCCCCGTTTCGAAGAGGCAGTACTTGTGAAATCAAAAGGCTCTTTTCAGAGCCACCCACTCTTTCAAATAAAAGAGCTGTTGACAGTAGCCAGCTGCTTGACAACGCCACTTGTCGCGGTAGTAAGCGCCGTCCCCACCCGTGTGCGGTGCTAGGAATGCCATTTGCCTTCGGCTCCCAACCGCCCAGAGATGTTGAGTAGCGCTCCGCCACCCTGATTGGGCTGAGTGGGCCGGGCCGTAAGCCTCAACGCAGGTGGACGCAACAAAACCCCTCGGGCGCCGCCCGTTACTAAGCGGACTGTTAGCTACCAAGTCCTGTTAGGCGGCCCCTAGTGCTTTCACCTCAGTCTGCGCTGAGCGCGCAACTCCCCAGTTTACCCCCCTGAGGCCTCCGCCCGGCACTTGAGACCTAGGGGGAGGGGAGCAGGCGGCTTTTCGGGATTCTGGCGAGCCTGGGGCCTGGCCTAACTGAGCCGGTTTTCTTCTGACCTTGGTGGGTTTTGGGTTTTTTTTTTTAGAAGCCAGAGATAAGGGGACCCCACTTAGGCGTTCTCAGCCGGGATCTCGGGCCCGGGGCGGGGACAATTTTCCGATCCGAAAGGCGGGAAAAGTGGACCTTCAGACCGACTAAGGGGCTCTGAAAAGCCAACAAGGTCACCGGGGGGGCGGGGGCCACGTCGGAGATTGGGGAGCTACGGGGCGTGGAAAAGAAGAGAGGGCATGGCGGCTGGCCTGACTTAGGGAGTGAAGGGCTGTGGAGGAACATTCTGAACAGTTGCGATTAAAAAAAATAAATAAAAAATTAAAAAAAAATATACATATATGCGTGTGTGTATACACAAATATGTTTATAAGAGACAAACGAAAAAAAAAACACCAAGGACAAAAAAAACCACGTAGGAAGAACTGTGGGCATATACTGGAAAGTAGACAGGGAGGCGGGGGTCTGGGGGGGCAGGAAACATTCTGCCCCAGCCAATCGGGCACGCCAGGGAAGATTACGTCACAGCCAATGGGTAGCCAGCGCGGGACTTTCAATTTTATCGCCCCGCCCAATAGGGAAAAGACTGTGCCTATAAAGACGGCTGTTGCGGGTCCGGGAGCGATACCGTCCCGGCCGCCGTGTTGTGCAGTTCGCCATGGCCCGCACTAAGCAGACCGCGCGCAAGTCGACCGGTGGTAAGGCCCCGCGGAAGCAGTTGGCCACCAAAGCGGCTCGCAAGAGCGCGCCGGCCACGGGCGGCGTGAAGAAGCCGCACCGCTACCGCCCGGGCACCGTGGCGCTGCGCGAGATCCGGCGCTACCAGAAGTCGACCGAGCTGCTGATCCGCAAACTGCCCTTCCAGCGCCTGGTGCGCGAGATCGCGCAGGACTTCAAGACCGACCTGCGCTTCCAGAGCTCGGCCGTCATGGCGCTGCAGGAGGCGAGTGAGGCCTACCTGGTGGGCCTGTTCGAGGACACCAACCTGTGCGCCATTCACGCCAAGCGCGTCACCATCATGCCCAAAGACATCCAGTTGGCCCGCCGCATCCGCGGGGAGCGGGCCTAAGAAGCGCGCGCTCGACCCCAGGTTCCATCGCAATCCAAAGGCTCTTTTCAGAGCCACCCACGAGGTCACTGGAAAGAGGCTGTGTGCCACTGGGTCTCCGCGCCCCTGGGAATGGGCGGGGGGGGGGCTTATACTCGCGGGCAGAGTATCGGGCTCCTATACAAAGGGTGCAAGACCCTCGCGTTGGCTGCCTTCCGGCCTGTTACTCAAGCTCAGGAGTTCCGGATACTACTCGGCAGCCTCGCGTCCACGTGGTTGGGCTCCCCTGGTGGGCTGTCTTCACGAGCGGGTTCCGTGTCGGGGATGGGCCGCCTCTGGGACGAGTCCTTCGGGACGCTGGCGACTCGTGGCCTGGGGTGCACCGGGAACACCTCTCCCGCCGGCAGGAGAGGTGCGCACTCCTCACCCCCGCCGGAAACGGCCCCATCCTGCGCGGGCTCTCGGGCTGGAGAGGAAAGTCGTCCCCTCTGTCGGGCTGGTTTCTGCAGCTTCAAGGTTCCGGGTTCCTGTGTCACCACGACTGGACAGCACCTCCCACCCTCTTATCCTAATCAAAAGCCCGGGGCGGGGAGAGTGAAAGAGAGAGAGTGTGCGTGCGTGGACACGAGCCCTATGGGCCACTCGTGAGCCTGGGCCTTCAACGGACCGATTTCAGCCCGGAAACCTTCGGCTTCTCTCTCTGCATACCCCGCCCAGACGCGGTTTCTCCACGTTTTTTAAAGCTCCCTTTGCCTCTCGAGATGTGTCCCAAGAGGGGAGAAGTTGGGACTGTGGCCGGCCTGCTACAGGTTGCCACATGTTCTTTTCCGGATCGTGGCAACTTCCCAGGGCGTGTCTCTAGGTCTCCCCGGGTGCCAGATTACCAGCGTAGGCCCCAGTGCAGGCTGGATCTCGGCCCGGGCCTCGGAGGCGTGTGAGGGCACCAGCTTTGCACCTATCGTCTCACCCATCCCCAGGGCACACGCCTCGAAGGGATGTCGGGTCCGGGAGCAGCCGAGCACACCCCGGAACCTGAGATACCGGTGTCAGGTGTCGGTCCTCTCTGCCTGCCCCGCCCCGAGCTCACACTGCTTTCACCTAACAGCCCCCGCCCCTCCCCGCTTCTTTCCAGGGAAGACCCCCCGTCTAAACCTCCGATTTGGTAGCATTGTTGATGTAGAGGCCTGTCCGAGTAAGGCTAGCATATAGAGGCCTGTCCAAATAAGGCTAGCATATAGAGACCTGTCCAAATAAGGCTAGCATATAGAGGCCTGCCCAAATAAGGCTAGCATATAGAGGCCTGTCCAAATAAGGCCAGGAAATTTTTAGGCGCCAACACCAGCTGCCCGCCAACAGCAGTCCAATCAGGAACTTTTGCCTTAGTTTGATTGAGCCGATAGCTAACCGCCATATCTGCTTCTGTATCCCTTGCTTGCTTGCTTGCCTGCCCCTATAAAAACCCAGTAGTCTGTAAGCCAGGCGCGACTTCCACTTTGGCGGCTCTGCGTAGCCGCGAGACTACGGTCTCGTTCGGGAAGTTCGCCCCTGCGCAGGTAAAACTTGGCCAATAAATTTACCATCAAACCGCTCTCAGTGTTCGGGGGATTCCTTTCGCTCGCAACTTGAATACAACATTTGGAGGCCCCAGCGAGATCTAAGGAGTGTCTCCGGAGACTGAGACTGCGAGGCCCGGGTAAGTTTGCCGCGGAATTTGGTTTGGGAGTCTAGACTCATTTGAGCCGCGAGGTGGTAGGCGAGACGTCGCCGGTAGTCCACCCGCGGGGTTCTCAAGGAGAGGACGCTCTCGAGAACCGGAGCTCTTGCTCCCGCGACTAGGTCGCATTTGGTTCATTTGGTTTTTGGTATTTGTTCCGCGCCGCGACTGAACGCGCTAGCGAAGTGTGAATGAGTGAAGAGACTGTAGTGCGCCACGGCCTGTTTGTGCGTGAGTGGACTGAGTGGAGAGGAGCGAGGTGTGTGTTTCTGTGCGGGATATTGGTAGCCCTCATCCTTCTAATCGCAGGCGCTGTGAGAAGCGAGAAGAAGGCGTCCGCGATGGGACAAGGAAGCTCCACTTAAAACACTGCCCTTGACTGCTTACTAAAAAATTTCTCTGACTTTCAGAATCGCGCTCGAGGCTATGGGGGTCCACCGCCAGACCCAGAAGTCCTGCGAGCTTTCAGTGAAATTGAATGGCCGTCTTTTGACGTAGGATGGCCGACGGAGGGGACTTTTGATCTGCCCCTCCTTTTTGCGGTCAGGCGGATAGTATATGGGACCCCCCATCCAGATCAGATGGTATATATAGATGTGTGGGTAGACATAGCTACTGACCGCCCCGGTTACATACGCCGGTGTCAGTCCAATGGGCAGAGGAGGAGAAGGGCCATCTGCGTGGCGATGACACCGAGGCAGGCTCCCCGTCTGCAGACAGACAAAGGGTGCCGGCCTCAACGGGATCAGGCAGACGGGGAAGGGAAGAAGCTATACCCTGTCTTGCCTGAAGTACCTGAGGACCCGCTGTTGGTCCCTTCCGCTCCTCCCCCATATCGTCAACCCCTGCCCGACTCCGCGAGCGGGGAAAGGGAGAGAGTCCAGAGCCCTCCCCATACCCGCGGCGGTACTCAGTATGGGGGTGAAAGTTTGGCGCCAAGACAGGATGGCGCCGCCATTTTGCTGGAAACGGTCGCGCCAAAACCAGGTGGCGCCGCCATTTTACCCCTCAGAGAGGTGCCACCGGCTCCAGACACCCCATTACATGCACCACCGCGGCTAATATATGTCCCTTTCTCAACCAGTGATCTATACAATTGGAAACTGCAAAATCCCCCGTTTTCTGAAAAGCCACAGGGATTAATTTCCCTGTTGGAGACCATATTTAGGACCCACCAGCCGACATGGGATGATTGCCAGCAAATTTTACAAACTTTGTTCACTTCAGAAGAAAGAGATAGAATCATGAGAGAAGCTATTAAAGCAGTTATGGGAGAAGAAGGGGAAACCGCGGGAGGGAGGAGGGAAGTATTAGACATATTACCTGAGCAACCCCCAGATTGGGACCCCAACACGAGCGGGGGAAGGGACGCACTACTCCAATATCGCCGGGCTCTGTTGAGGGGGGTGAAGGCAGCGGCTAGGAAACCAACGAATTTCAATAAGGTTAGTGAGGTAGTACAAGGGAGAGAAGAGTCCCCCGCCAGTTTTCTAGAAAGGTTAATTGAAGCCTACCGAGTGTACACCCCACTAGACCCCCAGGCCCCTGAGAACAGGCGACTTTTGAATATCGCTTTTGCAACCCAGGCAGCCCCCGACATTAGAAAGAAATTACAGAAGATTGAAGGATTTGAAAGAGAAAATATTAGCAAGCTTTTAGAGATTGCACAGAAAGTATAAATAGAGATGACCCAGAGATAGGAAAAGCGAAAGAGGTAGCAAAAATCTTAATTGCAGCCCAGGTAGACCCGAAGAAAGAACAAAAGAAAGGAAAGTCAAAAGGCCAGTGGCCAAGAGTAGACAAAGATCAATGCGCCTTCTGCAAGGAAAAGGGGCACTGGAAGAAAGATTGCCCCAAACTGCGGGCAAAGGAGGTCAGTCCTGCGGTACTGCTTCAAACCTTAGATTGACGGGGCCAGGGCTCTATACTTGTTGGCTCCCAGGAGCCCATGGTCACCTTGAATGTCGAAGGGAAACCAGTAGACTTCCTGGTCGACACGGGAGCCACATTTTCTGTGTTGAAGCAACCTCGGGGGCAGAGTCAAAAGGCAACCACAAAGATTATAGGGGCAACGGGTAAGGCCGAAGCATATCCCTGGACAACTGCCAGGATCACCAACTTGGGGCAAGGGACTATTACTCACTCCTTTTTAGTTATTCCAGATTGTCCGTACCCGTTACTGGGGAGAGATTTGTTACAGAAACTTCATGCCACTATAAGCTTCAAGCCTTCAGAAACACTTGAGGAGACGAGTGTAGAGGTGACGGTCCCTCTGTCCGAAGAGTACTTGCTGGCGATACTCCCGGACGGCGAGGAGAAGGAAAACAGGATCCTGAAGAGACTGCAAACGCAAGTACCAGGGGTGTGGGCGGAAACAAACCCACCTGGGTTGGCTGTCCACCAACCTCCAGTGCTGGTCCAGCTGGCCAGTACGGCCCACCCGGTCCGGATCAGACAGTACCCTGTCCCAGCACGAGCCAGGCAGGGGATTGCGGGGCACCTGCAACGCCTATTAGAGGCAGGCATTCTGAGAAAATGCCAGTCTGCATGGAACACCCCCCTTCTCCCTGTCCAAAAACCGGGGACCCAGGATTACCGACCGGTGCAGGACCTGCGGGAAGTAAACGCTCGAGTCGAGACAATACACCCCACTGTGCCAAACCCGTATACCCTCTTGAGCTCGTTGCCCCCGACTCATACCTATTATTCTGTTCTAGATTTAAAGGACGCTTTCTTTTGTATACCTCTGGCCCCCCAGAGTCAGGAAATTTTTGCCTTCGAATAGAATGACCCTGATAATGGACTAACGGGGCAGTTCACATGGACCAGACTACCCCAAGGGTTCAAAAACTCACCAACCATTTTTAATGAGGCCCTGAGTAAAGACCTCCAGGAGTTCAGGAGAACTCATCCTTCAATAGTCCTCCTCCAGTATGTAGATGACATCTTGGTGGCAGCCCAGACACAGGAGGAATGCGAATCAGCTACACGAGACCTGCTCCGAGACCTCGAAAGAATGGGCTACCGAGTGTCAGCCAAGAAGGCTCAAATCGCGACTCAAACTGTGAGTTACCTGGGGTATGACCTGAAGGGAGGACTGAGGGCCTTGTCAAATCAACGAATCCAGACAGTCCTACAGATTCCCGAACCGACCACCAAGAGACAGGTACGGGAATTCCTGGGGGCTATAGGCTATTGTAGACTATGGATATTAGGGTTTACGAACATAGCAAGACCCTTGTATGACCTAACCAGAGGCAAGGAGGACTCCTTCACGTGGACTGAGGAAGGGAGACAAGCATTCCTGGCCTTGAAGGAGGCCTTAGTCTCAGCCCCAGCCCTTGCCTTGCCCGATTTAACCAAGCCCTTCCAGCTATACGTCGCTGAGAAGGAGGGTACGGCCCTAGGCGTCTTGAGTCAGACTCTAGGCCCATGGAAGAGGCCTATAGCCTACCTGTCAAAGAAACTTGATCCTGTAGCGTCAGGATGGCCAGCCTGCCTGAGAGCTATTGCGGCCACGTCGCTGCTAGTTAAAGAAGCAGGCAAGTTGACCTTGGGGCAGGACATACAAGTTATAGGAGAACACTATATCGAGCAGGTCCTACGGGCCCCCCCTGACCGGTGGTTGTCTAATGCGCGGCTGACGCAGTATCAGGTACAGCTGCTGAACCCTCCAGCGGTACAGTTCCTCAAGACTACTGCCCTGAACCCAGCTACCCTGTTGCCCATACCAGATGCCAAGATCGTCCATAGCTGCACCCAAGTCTTAGACACGGTAACTGGCTCCCGCCCGGACTTAAGAGATCAGGCATACGAAAAGGCAGACCTGACTCTCTTTACTGATGGGAGCAGCTTTATCAAGAATGGACAGCGGTACGCAGGGACAGCAGTGACCACAGGAGATAAGGTCCTGTGGCGGAAGGCGTTGCCGGCAGGCACCTCTGCGCAAAGAGCGGAACTGATAGGGCTGACCAGGGCCCTAGAGATAGCGGAGGGGAAGGTAGCCAACATCTATACTGACAGCCGTTATGCTTTTGCAACCGCCCATATTCATGGGGCCATCTACAGAGAGAGAGGTCTCCTAACTGCAGGAGGAAAGGACATTAAAAACCGAGAAGAGATCCTCTCCCTCCTAGAGGCCATATGGTTGCCCAGGAAGGTCGCCATTATTCATTGTAAAGGCCACCAGAAGGGGGATTCTCCGGTCATAAGAGGAAACAACCTGGCCGATGCTGCCGCCAGGGAAGCCGCCACGGACCAAGAAAGTAGTTTACTTCCCCTGGTTCCTCAGCCGGACCTGCCCCCAAAGCCCGCGTACTCCCCAGAGGAAGAGCAAGAAGGGGCAAAACTAGGAGGGATAAAAAACGAAAATGGATAGATAATACTCCCAAATACTAAGTTATATTTACCACAAGGGGTACTAACAAAAATTGTCCAGGACATTCATACTAGTACCCACTTAGGGCAGAACAAAATAGAACAGTTAATTAGGAAGCATTACCTGGGACCACACCTGAGGGAGGTGATACACTCCGTCACCTCTCGATGCAAGACTTGCGCAAAGGTAAACGCCCAGAATCAGAAGTTGCCCCGCTTCGTGAGGCACCGAGGGAGCACCCCAGGAGAACTATGGGAGATTGACTTCACCGAAATGCCTAAAGGAAAATCAGGATATAAGTATCTGCTAGTTCTAGTAGATACTTACTCCGGGTGGGTAGAGGCCTTCCCCACTAAGGGAGAGACTGCTTCCACGGTCTGCAAGATCTTAGTAAGAGAGATCATACCCAGGTATGGGATACCAATAGCTATAGGGTCTGATAATGGACCAGCATTTGTCTCCAAAATTTCACAAGAATTGGCTAGTAGATTAGGTATCGATTGGAAACTCCATTGTATTTATAGGCCACAGAGTTCAGGACAAGTAGAAAGGATGAATAAGACACTAAAAGAAACTTTAGTGAAAATAAAAGAGGAGACCGGCGAAAATTGGGTAGAGCTGCTCCCTTTCGCCCTCTTCCGGATAAGGTGCACCCCGTACATTAAAGGGTGGACGCCCTATGAAATATTGTATGGGCAACCAGTACCCTTAATCCCTAAGTTGTCCACAGAAGAAATAGAGGTGTCTAACTATTAATTTCCTCAAGTCCTTACAGGCGCTGCAAGGGATCCGAGGTGAGGTGCGCGCCTTCCAACAAGCCCAACGCCAAGAATCTGAGGAAATAAAGGGAGAAAGGCCTAGACAGCCGGAGCCTGGACAATGGGTATGGATCCTTAATCATCGGAGGGGAAATTTAGAACCTCGCTGGACGGGACCATATCAGGTACTGTTAAGCACTCCCTCCGCTGTACGAGTGGCGGAGAAACCCTACTGGATCCATCTGTCCCACATTAAGACTGCCCAACCACCAGAGGAAGAATCACGAACATGGCGGGTCCGACCAGATCCGGACAACCCTATGAAGCTTGCCTTTTCACGTGTATAGGACTCCTGATCCTCGGTGGAACCCCAGGTCAGGGCCTAGAGCAACAGGAGTGGGTACTCATAAGGACAGCAGATGGTACAGTCATTGCTACCAATTACACTTGGGATACAGGCCCGGTGGCTCTACGCACAGACTTCTCAAAGTTCTTTGATGACACACTCTGTGATAGAGGGGATATGAGATTACTACCAGAAAGTCCTCAAGCCCCACTAGAGGGTGGCACAAGGGCAGGTAGAGTTTGTAGTGAGGGCTTGTCGGCCTCCTTGAACAGGGCACTTTGGCACACCCCTCATTATGGATGCCCAGAGCCCCCCTCAGGGAAAAGGCTCACATGTGGGTCACATGGAGATTACTACTGCAAGGCATGGGGCTGTGAGTCCTTCACGAATGGTGGCTGGATACTGGGGGGAGGAACTGACAAACATATTCTTTTTACCCGAGATAAAAGCAGAGAACCGGGTAGAGGATGGGATGCGGACTGCGCAGCAAACAGGTGTAATCCTACTACTGTGATAGTCTTGAACCCAGGAGATTCAGGGTGGCTAAAAGGTCACACATGGGGTCTCAGGCTCTATGTCAGAGGTACAGACCCGGGGACCTTCTTTACAGTAAGAAGGCTGCCCACTCAGGGGAGACCGTTATTGAGAGGGGGGAACGGGAAAGCTGCCACCTCGCCCACCCAAACCCACCACTAGTCCGGGAAAAGGCGAGGGCCCCTCAACGCTTGAAACACCCATGGGGGCCAGCAGAAACCAGAGCGAGACCATAGAAAATCCACAATTCGAGGGTGCGAACAACTTAAGGATTCCCCTCGGAGATCCTAAGCCCTTAATAGAGAAACCACACCACCGGGGAAGGAGAAGGGGTGCCTAAGACAAAACCCCTTCCCAAGAACCCGGACCAGGACCAAATGAAAGACTTCCAACAGTGTACATTTGAAAGTACCCTCACATTAGCAGAATTCCATGGGCGAGGCACCTGTTATTTGCTAGCGAACTATACCCTTGCAGCCTCAAACTATAGTGACTATTGCCTTAACCAAGAGCATTTGCCGAGAGACCCTAGGAATTTGACTATTACATTAGCTCCAGAAGGACTGTGGTTTGTCTGCACTCAAGGTATCTTCAAGTGTCTAGTACCAACTAACCCTGAGCTATGTGTTAGTGCTTACATCATTCCCCAAGTGTACTTATATGGGGGAAACCCTGATTTTCTGATACGTGCCCCCATTCGAGCCAAGCGAGTCCCATTGCTAATTCCCATCGTCGCCACTATCGGTGTTGTAGGGTCGGCTGCTGTAGGAGCAGGAGCATTGATCCATGGGGAAAACAGTCTCAGGGCCTTGTCACAGACTTTCTCCAAAGATGTCTCCTTACTCCAAGAGCAAGTAGAATATTTAGAGCGCCAAGTAGACTCCCTAGCAGAAGTGGCACTCCAAAATCGAAGAGGGTTAGATCTAGTATTCCTGCAACAAGGAGGAGTATGTGCAGCACTTGGAGAAGATTGTTGTTTCTATGCCAACCACTCAGGAATAATTAGAGAAAGTGTAAAAGCACTCACTAGACGACTTAAAAGTAGAGACCAGGAGGATGAGTCGTCCTCCTGGTATTCTTCCCTATCTAAGACTTCCCCTTGGCTAAATACATTGATATCGGCTCTAGCCGGTCCCTTGATCATCCTCCTATTAGCCCTGACCATAGGCCCAATAATTCTAAACAAGCTCATAACTTTTATTAAAGATAAAATAGAAACAGTAAAACTTATGGTGTTGTCTCAGCCCTATACAATCCTCCCTCAAGAGGAGCATGAGTCAAGGGTTTGACTAATAAGAAAGAGAAGGAGGGAGTGTAGAGGCCTGTCCGAGTAAGGCTAGCATATAGAGGCCTGTCCAAATAAGGCTAGCATATAGAGACCTGTCCAAATAAGGCTAGCATATAGAGGCCTGCCCAAATAAGGCTAGCATATAGAGGCCTGTCCAAATAAGGCCAGGAAATTTTTAGGCGCCAACACCAGCTGCCCGCCAACAGCAGTCCAATCAGGAACTTTTGCCTTAGTTTGATTGAGCCGATAGCTAACCGCCATATCTGCTTCTGTATCCCTTGCTTGCTTGCTTGCCTGCCCCTATAAAAACCCAGTAGTCTGTAAGCCAGGCGCGACTTCCACTTTGGCGGCTCTGCGTAGCCGCGAGACTACGGTCTCGTTCGGGAAGTTCGCCCCTGCGCAGGTAAAACTTGGCCAATAAATTTACCATCAAACCGCTCTCAGTGTTCGGGGATTCCTTTCGCTCGCAACTTGAATACAACAGTTGATACCCAGCCAAGAACAGGATAAAATTTTGTGTTTCCCGTCACTGTAAAGGCCTACCTGCCCTCACAGAAGTCTCTCCAATTGTCCCACTTGTTTGGGAGACTGGCAGAAACTCGAGTTCCTCAATACAAGAGAGCCATTGAAGACGCACGTTTTAACATTTAATGATTTCTGTACTTCAATCGCTTCTCTACTCTCAGATGAGAGTCAGAGGAAAATGAAAGAGGTAAATAAATGCTCTTCCTCCCGATAATTGGCTTCTGATGTGGTTAACTTGGTTGCAGGGAAAGTCTACCCTGCTTTCACCAAGTGAAAAACAGTCCGCCTTCACACCGAATTCTGCCTTGGGGTAGGTAGCAGGGAATGGTGCGCGTGCCTGCGTAGAAGGAAACAACGAGGTACTGTGGTCCTGCTGACTCACACCTTTGCTTCCTCGGCAGAGGACTTGGCCTTCGGGTTCACACTCTCTCCCAGGTCCCCATCTCAGCCTTCTCGGGTTCTCCTCCTCTTTCTCCACCAGCCCCATCCATGTCGTGGTTTCCACCCACGCGGGCCTTCGTGTTTTCCCTCCCTGCAATTCCAGCAGCCAGATCACGGATCCCCTGCTCTTTGTATCTCTAGGCCTCTGACAAGTGCTCCCAATCGGTACCTCCTGCTGAGACCCCTGTCCTGAGCTCTACACCACCATTCTTCTAACTGCCTTGCGGCCGGGTCCTTCTCTGGATGGGCGACAGGTGCTTCAAACTCCAGTCATTTCCAAAACCGCATCATCCTGCTTCCCCAAGCTATTTTTCCCCTTCCAGTAGTTCTCATCGTAGTGAAAGACACCTTCAGTTTCCCACCCCGAGCCCCCCCCCCCCCCCCCCCGGTTAACCTGTTCAGGGCAGAAATTCCTTCCTCTTGTCCTTTGTCCAATTCTCACCAGTCACCACAGCCTCCCTCCCTTAATCCATGGACACTCTGCCCTGCAGCTAAGCTTCCACTCACTGTGTGACTGTTGTCTTTTCTCTGAATGCCTCCAAACTTCCCACCTCCTTCCCAATTCCCTTCAGAATGAAGTCCGCCCTCTTTCTCACGGCAGTTCAGAGCACTGGCGGTTCGTGACGGGCAACAGAGTCCGCAGTTAGACAAGCTCCTCTTGACCATGCAACAGAACAGGGACGCGACTCCAGCAAGGAATCCTCCGTAGGCTTCACTCTTCCCCACTTCCGCCGGGAAAACGGCGAGAGGCAGTAGCACCTTGCCTATGCTCTTGTCGGTAATATTAAAAGTGACGCTTCTTAGAAAGTCCCTAGCGCGGCGTCTGCTCCAGAAGAAGCGTTGCATCACTTTTAGCTACTCTACGGATAGTGATGAAATCTAAAATATCCCAACAAAAGGGACTTCAGCATACGTCTGGTTCCCGGTCTCTCTCAGAGCCTACCCAGGTTCCAGGCTTTCTGACCCCACCGAACATCTGGGGTCCCCAGGTAGGACCACGCCCTCACACATTCCTGTCTCTTCTCTGGGGACCGCCCCGCCCCCTTTTCGCAGCCCTGAGGCTGCCCTGAGGTTATTTTTGCTCTTCAAGATTCAGCCCCTTCATCCTCTTCACCCTCATCTTTTCGGGCCCTCCTCCTTTGCCTCCCCACCACCCCCACCCCGTCCTATCCTAACACCCCTTCCTACTCCCTTCCCTTCAACCATCAGGCCGGGAGTATCCCCCAGGGTAAGTAAGGATTTGGCCTCCTTCACCTCTGTGGCACCCGCAGCCCCAAGCAGTGCCCGGCACTCCGTAGCTGGCCAGGAAATGCTGGATGAGGGGCCTGGTTCACCTGCCCTTCGGCCCTTTGCCTTCAGTGAGGGAGCTGGGCCTCTTTGCCGTGGCGCCGCCCACCCCCACCCCCACCCCACGGCTCTTGGGGTCCTTGAAGTTAGCAGACCAAGAGCAGGCCTGGACCCGACCTCTGGGAGGAACTTCCAAGGTCCTTGGCAGGGTCACGGAATACGGAAATACAGGGCGTCTGGAAAGCCCACGAACGGCCACGGTCCCAGACTCAGCCTGCTCCTGGTGAGAGTGACTGAGAAAAGAGTTCAAGGACCTGCCCGCCCCCCCCCCCCCACCGCCCGCCACGCCAATCTGTTCTCGGGTGCAGAGGATCTGGGGAGAAGGAATGTCTGCTCTCCTATCAGCAGAGACGTCACGCTCGGCCTCGCTGACAGAAGTTTCCGAGGGTGTGGTAGAGGGTGGGGGTACGGTCAGGGGCTGAGAGTGAAGTACATAAAGAAAGGCAGGCAGGAGGAAGGGGGGTGCCGGAGAAGAGAAAGGGCATGGGGAACACAACTCCAGGGCCCTCGCCTCACTGCTGCGAAGGGGAGGAGGAGTGGTTAAGGCCTGAGGCCCCTTATGGGGAGGGCCGGGACTCCTGGCCCATGACCGGGAAGAGGCTCCAGAAACAGAAAAAAAAAAAGACTGGGATCTCCACGTCCTCACGTGTAGAGCAGCATCCATGTCGCTGTGAGGATGAAAACGTAGGACGGTCACGAATCTATTCATAGCATCAGCACCCATGATGTAAATAAGTGTGACATATCAATCGACGTAAGGCCCGATCACAATCATAACCGAAAGCAGGTCCGGCTGCCTGCCGCCGAGAAAGCCGACACTCCACAGGCAGGTGCTCACGTAAAGGACAGTGGCTTACTTTCAGGTGCTGGCCACCTGGAAGATGGGGCGCTCCCTTCTCAAAGCCCACCGCCACCTCTCAGTGGAGGCAGTGGCTTTTACGAAGAGGGAGAGGGGAACAGATCAGAGAGGTCGAGGGAGGGGGTTGAAAAGTCCTCCGCATGCAGGTGAGCACAGTCCGTTCCCGTAGGGCAAGTGATGGTTCCCCGTGCGTCTTCCTGGCTCCGCGGATGGGTGCAGGTCAGCCAGCCTCCCGGAGCTGGGGCGCTCGAAGGTCAGAGTCTGTTATCTTCCGAGGCCAGTTCCTAGGATCCTTGCACAAACGCGATGTTCACCTACAAGCTGCACACTCGTCGGAGTCGGTCAGCACTTACAGAAACGGTGTCCAAACAATGGTGGGTCGGGTCACCATTTCCCACCTTCACAAGTTTTCACCGTCACGCAATCACTTCACTAAAACACACACGCACACACGAGTTGGTGAAGAATTTTTAACACGCCACCAGCTTCCAGACTGCGTGGCACGGGCAGTAAAAATAACCCGGGTTCCTAGGTGGCTTATGGCTCATCTTTCACTCACCTCCTCTCATTCAATTTCACAATAACCCAGGGACGGAGGGAGAAAGGGAGGGAGGGAGGGAGGGCCTTGGTTTCACTCTGATCGAATGAATGGTTGAAGGCACTGAAGCCCGTGAGGAAGAGACGCCCGGGAATGCGTGGCTCACACAGTCAGAAGATGGCACCGGGACGGGACGGGGTAGAACTTGAGCCTGAGCCCTAGGGTTTGCTTCTTGTTACATTGTTTCGGAAGAAAACAGTACACCATCCTTACGTGTAGAGATAGGGTATCACTGCATGCACATGCAGTAGCTATGATTTCTGACCGCAAACTAAGGCTAAGATGTAACTTCATAATAAAATACTACCTACTGCACGTTCATACGCATCTAAAAACTGACACGGAGGTGCACAGAACACGGAGGTGGCTTTTCACTTGGGATAGTTTCGACCCTACTTTGCTTCATTGATTAAGGATACCGCCTCCCATTTTCCACATTGAGCTTGCTTGCCACCCGTTCACTCGCGGCCTACAAGCCGGCAACTCAAGAACATGGCGCTAGAGAAAATTACCAGAACGCAGCTTGAAACTGTTATAGCCACTGGACGCGAGAATAATTCTCGAAGAACTTTCAGGGCTTTGATCTTATTTTATTGGCCAAGCTTAACCTGCGCAGGGGCGAACTCTCGGGGTGTCCGGAGACACGGTGCCCAAAAGGGCTGCAGATGAGAGACGCGCCCAGCGCTTACAGCTAAGTCCTTACATAGTGGGGGAGAGCAAGCAAGCGTTGAACAGAAGCAGACCTGGCAGTTAGCTATTTGCTGACAGAGACCGTGCGCGGGAACAGGGTGGGGTGTCAAAATTCAAAACTAAACAGATTACGATCTGCCTATCTTGCTCTAAGTAGGGCACTCACATACTGCAGGATGCCTGCTCAGCCTTCGTTTGCATGCTGTCCCTTGTTCCTGTTTTGCTGTGGTCAGGCTATGTTCTATTTCCCAGATCTCAACAAAACCAAGAATGCTTTTCACGCACTGGCCAGCTCTCACCCTAATTGTTTTAAAATTGCACTAATGAGTTCACCTGTGATCTAATGACCTGAATTTCTCTTCCCCGGTTTCTGAATGGCTGTTGATCGGGTTTGACTTTGCAGGTGCTTGCACGCCTTTTCCAGTGAGTGAGCAGTGAATGGCACAAAACAGCGTCCAATGTGAACAGGGCCCCGGAGCCACCCGGCCTACTCCCTCACTGCGGCAATGGGAGGGGAGGCCCAAACAGTTAACTAGTGAAGCTCAAAAACGATCACGTGGCAGAACTGGTACCTCGGGAGTGCAAATCTGGGGCTGCCTCGAGTCTAAGAGTGAAGGTGGCTTGACCTGGCCTCCTTTTGCCGCTTTCAACTCCCCACAGCCCAGTAATACGACCGCCAACGTGGGTAACGCGACCCGAAACAAAGATGGAGCACATCGTCCCGTTCAGCTAGGTGTGAGCAGAAGTGCTGTGCCGGCATCCTCCCGGCAACGGCGGGATCCCCCGATGCAGAACGGCGAAGGGAGAACCTCCTCGCGGGCGACCAGTACCCCAGCACCTTAGCCGGGAAAGCGAAGCGAAAGCGCGCCCCGGACACAGGAGGGAGGCAGGAGGGAGGCTAGGGTGACTCACGTGGCGAGAAGGTGAGGTTCCCGCCTCAACCCCAGGCCCCCAGCCCCGTCCCTGAGGGACTTTGCTATGCGGACATAGACTGGAGAAATAGCAAGTTTGACTGGCAAAGGCAGCACTGGCCTGAATGGCTGAATCCGCACACGGATTGCTGTGGAGCGCCTTTCACTAGTCAACGACACCGAGGTCCGGACACCGCTGCACAGCTGCAATGGGGCAGAGGAAGCCTCGGTCCCACTGTTCGGGATAGGACACCGGGTGACTCACAAGCACTGCTTCCTGACATGCCACCGTAGCAGAGCACAGGGGCAGTTGATTGAGCGGCCCAGCTGCAAGGTCTCTCTCTCTCACACACACACACACACAAAAAGAGTACCCAGCTCCTCCAAAGACTCCATGGGTGGCCCTAAAAAGGGCCTTTGAGATTGCCGCACGTTAAAGCCTGCAGCAGCGGCCTAGCCTCCGAAGCCGTACAGGGTGCGTCCCTGCCGCTTCAAAGCGTACACCACATCCATGGCAGTGACCGTCTTGCGCTTGGCGTGCTCCGTGTAGGTCACAGCGTCCCGGATGACGTTCTCCAAGAACACCTTCAGCACGCCCCGGGTCTCCTCGTAAATGAGGCCCGAGATGCGCTTCACTCCCCCACGCCGTGCGAGACGGCGGATGGCCGGCTTGGTGATGCCCTGGATGTTATCCCTTAGGACCTTTCGATGACGCTTCGCGCCACCTTTGCCCAAGCCCTTACCTCCCTTGCCTCTCCCAGACATGATGGCTGCGACCTGACCACACAAGCCTCGTGGCTGGTGAGGGCAGCTCGGCCCCTGATATACGAGAGCATCGGACCGCATTGAAAGCCGCAGAGCGCGCGAAATGGTCCCCGCCCCTCCACAGTTTCTCATTGCTTTCCTCGCCTAGCCTTTCCCTTCCCCCACTCCCCACGCCGCCCTCTAGCGGACCCTGTCTACCCACAGGCAGATCCCAGGCGCGGCTTCCGAGTTCCGCAGCTGTTCCCCCCCTTCCACACACACACACCCCTTCTCTCCATCTGGCCGCTCCCCGGGCGCATTAACATTTCCCCTCCTGGGGGAAAAGACCAGAATGGCAAATGGAGGCCAGGGGTAGGGAAGAGACGAGAGAACCAGCGCCGGGTTTAATTCCAACGAGAGGATCCCAAACTCCGAACCTGGGCGACACCGAAGGGCTGGAAAAAAAGCAGTTTCCGAGCCCATCTCCAGAGCACCGACCGGGCCCGGGTGGGGGTAGGGGTGGGGCGAGGGGGAGCGGTAGGGGGAGGTCTCCACAATGCCTGAGTTTCGCCTCCACTTTCTGGGTATAGGTGGAAGACACCATGTGACCGCACTTGTAAACAGGACTTTTAAAGAGGCGAGTACGTTACGATGGGATCATCGGGATGGGCCCCAAACTTAACAGGAGCCGTGTCTTCTTGAGAAGCAGGGAGGGGATTCGAACAGAGACAGCACAGAAGGACAACTGTGAGAGGGCAGCCACCTGCGAGCCTATTTCATAGGTGAAAGACTCCAGAAACCATCTGCTTTCGCCTTTTCCTGGTATTCCTTTGGTGCTGTAACCCCTGCTAGACAGGGCGCCTTTCTTGGAGGTCAATACAAAGGAAGTGCTTCTCATACCCAAGGAGCAGTTCATTGGGCTCTTCTTCAACTGTGATAAAATGAGTTTCTTTTGTTGAAGCCACCTAGTCTGCTATGCTTTGTTACGGTGATGGCACCCAAAGCAAACATATGCCCTCTTGATCTCTGCCCAGAGCCTCATTCCCTACCCAGACCCACAACGCACCATGGGGTGCTTGGGATCCGTGCTTGTGAGTTACTAGCAGAAGCAGCAATGACTCAGGGCTGGGGGGCGCCAGCACCTTCACAGTGCATCTCACCCACTGAGGTTTGTTTACAAAGGTGCTGCCTGAAATTCTCAAGAGTGGATGATATTCCAGAGCATGAGAGCCATCAGTGGCCCAGATTGTGCAGTTCCATGTCAGGGCCCTTCCTCCTAGGGCCATACTCCCTGAACTGATACTAAATCGGATTTAAAACAGAAAATTCAAAATGCCAAAGACCTTCCAAGGTCTTGACCTTCCTGGGGTCCTGAGATTTGACAACCACTTGCACATATACTGTCACAGCTAAGGCAGTTCAGGGGTCTCCCCACTTAGTGGAAATGGCTATGTCCTACCTTTGCCCTTCTCCTCTGTTCTTCCTGCCACAACAGTTGAAGGTCACAGGGTGAGGAAGGAGAGTGGTAGAAGAAAGCAGAGAAGCAGGAGCACCGGGGAGCCTAGGGCCCAGTCCCTTGCTACTGTGGGACAGTGGAGGCCCTCCCTGGTTGGTTTTTCCTTGTTTGCTGTCAAAGGTGAGACTCTCAAGGGTAGGGCCTTGTCTGCATCATTGATCTCTTCCAGGGCCTTGACCATGGGACCATGGAAGGGTCCTCTACTTGGCTTCACTGGGCCCCCTGCCCACACACAGAGCCCAGGAAATACTAGGCAATGCAAACAAATGGGTGTGTGCACACTCACTTTCTGAGGAACTGTGGCCTGTCTGATCCAATATCTCTCTCCCCGCAGAGGGTCAGGCCTGGGCAGGGCACCGCTGCCTTAACCTGTCAGCAGCCATGTCTTGGGGATTTGTCCCCCCAGATAAAGTTAGGGCAACAGAATCTGTTCCCCAATGGAGCCAAAACACCACGCCAAGTTTATTTTGTTAGCAGGACCTCGATCCCAAGTGAAGGAACGGGAGCAAGGATCACACAGGGGAGCATCCCCGAAGCAGGAGGGACTGCCGTGCTGACATCGGGGCACATCACGCAGACAAGGGCACAGCCCAATGTAGATCGCAAGGACAGAAAATGGAGGAGGAGCTCCGCCTTGGCTGGAGATTGTCATCGTCTGGGTACAAGGAGAAAAGTTCCCCCTGAGGTCACTGGAGGGGGACTTCGGGCAGCTTCAACCACATAATCAGGCAGCTTCCACAGGTCTCAGGTGATTTCTGGCAGTTCCCTAATCTTTACCTTCTGGCCTTGAAGAAAAACAACCCAGGCAACCTATGTCACAGTTCCCAAAACAGAGCAAGAAGAGTCAGTAGTGAAGTAATTGCCTGGGCGCTCACTCTCCAACTTTCAACCCTTTTGTAGGCCTAGGTAGGCTACAAAATCTGGTTCTCATTTGAGAGTATATTCTGGATTTTAAGGAATTCCCCAGTTTCTTCGGGGATTCTCAAATTGCCACAGGTGTATTACCGACAGCTCAGACACCTTTTTGGCAACAGGACAAAGTTGATATTTTTGCCACCATCTTGTGAAGGCCCAACTTCCTAGGCCTAATAGGAGACTTTTGGGATGCCTTTGAAAGTAGGGCTAAGTAATACGTAATCTTGTTTTTATGCCAGTATCAAAAGGTAATTTTTTCAGGTACGTAAGTAATTTCCCACTTTCAGAAAGTCTTAAAGAAAAGAAAAGCAAGCAAAGAACAACTCACCTTAATTTAAAAAGTCCTGTCATGCCCAGCCTGTCTCTAAGAAAAGTCTGCCATGGGATTGGTATTGTTGATTGGACTTCGAGCTGATGGTGGCATCAGCTAAGGCAATGGCTAGATGTGAAAGTAGATGAAGTCATTGATTTGAAGTCATCGTAGAAGGTAAATTTGACAAGATTTGGTGATGTAGGCATTTGGAGAATTTCAAGAGATGAGGGAGCTTTTCTTTGACCTGAGGAGCTCCGGGAAATGGCAAAAGATTGCACTAAGGTGGAGAATTCAGAGAAAAAAAATGCTTTTGGAACCAATTATATGCATAAAGGCTCTTCTGACATTGAAGTTGAGATTCCTGTTATCCATGTAGAAAATCACATTCACCCGGAGTCGGGGTATTGATCTACTCAGCAAAGGAGCTCAGCTGGAGATACTCGGGAAAAGCCCTCAGCACACACTTAAGAAGTCAGGGAGTTTGATAAAATCTACCCAGGGGTCAGGGAGAAGAGAAGGCTGAGGCAAGAACCCTGGGCAAGCACTCATTGGGCTGATAGATCAAGAGAACACCAAGAAGTGGGGTAGCTGGAGAGAGATAAGTACCACCAGGAAAGACAATATGTCCAAAGGAGGCAAGGATTGTATCAACAGGGCCATATGAAGCACCGACATTCAGAAATGCTGGGGTTTTTTAAATTTTGAAAGTACATTTATTAAAGCTAGGAAGAGTAAAACAAGGAAGGGCCCAGGATAGAAGAAGCAACAGGAGAGAGCCTAGGTAGGGCTGCTCTGGCTCTGTAGAAATAGCGCAGGAAAGCTTTGATCCAAGACAGGGCTGCCATCGGCCCACTGGGAAGTCAGAGAAAAGGGGGCCTTGGAGACAGGTTCAGGGGATTAGCCCAGTACAAGATGCCGCTGCCCATTTCTCCCCTGGTTGAAAGTCTTGTTGGGGACTCTTAGTTTAGGAGAAAGAAAATTTGCTCAAAAAGGAGATCTAAGTGGGCATGCCCAAAGCAGGGTGCGTGCACATTCAGAAATATTGATAACAACTTGTTACCAATTCAAGGTCATGGACCTGCTGCTTCTAAAGGCCAACATTCAAAACGTCAGGGTTTGGAGTAAGGAAGGGTTTATTGACCAAGAAGGCAGCAGCTCAAGAAGATGGGGGCTTTAAAGCATCCACAAATTCATCTTATGAGGGTCCAGAATTCAGGCTTCTTTTATGTCAAGGGAAGAGAGAAAGGTGGAGCAAGAGGTATGTGTCATCTAGGCACCAACAGGGCTCTAAGGAAGAATGCAAATTTTCTGAAAATCTCTGTTCCTCGTCCAGTGATCCCTGCTGATCTGAGTCCAGTCTTGAGGCTCCTGCAGATCTTTGCCAAGAAGTTCAAGTCTCGAGCAGAATTCCTCTATACAGCAGAAGCTGTTTGCCTGAAGGCCATGGTGGAAAGGCAGGCTAGAGTTAAGTTGGAGTCAGAGAGAGCGAGCATTTCACCCTATATCACTTATGTTCATTAAACTCAGTCACTTCTAACTATACTTTGTATTTCATCTCTCTTTTAATCATCATGACAACCCTGTAAGGCAGGCAGGCATTTATCATTCTTATTTTACAGACAAGGGAGCTTGGAGTATTTTGCCAAAGCTCCCACAGCTAATGAGCGCAAGGGCCAGAGATTCTGACCAAAGTGCTGGGACTCAAAGTTCATATTCTTAAGCAGAAAGCACCAAGCGAAGAGCCTGTACTGGAAGCTAAGAGGGGAAGTGACAGGAAGTTCATAATGCACAGGCTTGAGGGCCTTGTTGCTTCACTGGAATCTTCTCTACCTGCCTACCCACTCCCCGCCTGACTCCATCAGGTGGAGACAACCTCCCCACAAGCCAGAGCTGAGCTCGTCACTTCAGCACAAGCTTTACAATCTCTATACCCTCCACCCCACTGCCTTCAGAATGAAACTTATGCCCATGTGTCATATAGTACAGAGAAGCAGAGACTAAGCGCAACGCCACAGATTTGAGTTTGAGTCCTGGCTCTGTCTCTTACTACCTCCACAACTTTGGCAAGATGCTTAATCTCACCTGTAAAATGCAGACAACGGGCTCTGCTTGGTGATAGTGTTTGGAGATATATAAAGATGCAATTCTCACAAAGTGGCAGGCATACCATCTGATCCAGAACGAACAATGGAGAAGTTTTATTCTATAATTAGCTATTCAAGCCCTGGCTGTTGTGGCTCAGTGGATTGAGTGCCAGCTTACAAACCAAAGGGTTGTCAGTTCAATTCCCA